AAGGATGTGTGAAGTGGTATTTGACTCATATTTTTTTTTTACATTTTTCCAAAGTCTAATAAATTTAAGGTTATTTTATGTGTTTGCCACATATATACTTTTTAGAGAAAAGTTTAATCAAAATCTGCTTAATTTTTACATAAAATTGCTAGCCTTTTTATTAAGTTGTAAGTGTTCTTATATTCTCCATGCTAAAATTTTTGGTTATATATATTCTCCTGTTCTCTGTGATTGTCTTTCAACATTTTGCCTAAGTCCTTTGAATTATAAAGATTTAATGCTTATGAAGTCCATTTTATTTTGCTATAACCCATGCTTTTGGTGTTAAGTACAAGAAACAATTAGTTATTGCAAGATAATGAAGGTTTACAGGTACTTTTAAAAATCATAATATTCCTGGGTCGTGGTTTTTATTGCATTTAGTCTGAGATAGTGAAACAGAGCAAGTTGTGTACATCTCCTGCCAAAGTGGGAGGAAAATATACTGGTTGCACTCCAGGATAGAAAAGTGTCTTTTATGCCATGGATGAAGCTGAGTGTCCCTAAACGTGGAAACCTCTCATATTCTCTAAGTGTTGGGACATCAAGCTCTTTACAGCCTCGAGTTCAGTCTCAACTCATTCCGCCTTTGTCTTGGATAAACTGCACACATGTTTTCTTTTTAAAAGTGTAACTTACATTTCAAATTTTTTCAAAGCCTAATTTACAAATCTTACAATGGTGCTGCCTTAAAACCACTATTGGGAAAAATCCAGAATACCTGTTTGTTGCCATGGCAATGAAGTGACCCACTGGCACAGTGCCTCTGCCATGCAGACACTTTGAACATCGGGTTGAGTAAAAAAGGAGCTAAAATTGGGATTGTTTTAGTTTTTTTTCTTTTTTGATGAGATGTGGGGGTTTATGACTCAGTTTATGGCCTAAATAACAAGTATGAAAACTCTTGTGTTGGTGTGCATATGAGTGTGTGCTTGTATACAACTAGCAATTATATCTTTGTCTTCTGGAAATTAATGTATTCTTTTTCTTTTTCCTCCAGAAGTATTTTTTATAAGATTTGGAAATAAGATCTTGACTTAATTAGTTTACCTTGAACGTGCTGCAACAAACCTTATACACCTAATTCCTGCAAGATTTAAGGAAAGAATAAGATTTACCTACTTAAGCAACAGCCAAGTTCTCGGTAATCATTTGCTTTCATTTCTTTTTTCAGATTTTAACTCTACTAGCTCTACAATTCCCAGGCTTCCTTGATATTAGTTCTCAGTCTTTTTATGTTCTGAGCAGGAAAGGTAAAAAGAAACTGCTTAGACACACGAATTAGTTCCCTGGCCAAGACCAAGGCATTCCTTTCTCTATATTGCAATGTTGCTAGATTCATGATCTAACACAAGAGGGCTGAGAATTTTTGCAATATATTAATGGTGCTGAAATCTGCAGCATTGTACTAAAGAAGTTAAAGTATTTGAATGCAATCATTTTATTTAAAAGATTCTTTAAATGATATAGGGTTGAAGTGAACATGATTTTATCAATCATGCTCATGAATTATAGATGATAGAATCATGTGATGGTCTTCTGTGTAACTTAATTTTCACTTATCCTGGTGTCTGTATGTGCTGTGCTGACAATGAGAAAATTATCTGCTTAACTCTTTTTTGTTTGTTTTGTTTTTATTTTAGTACCAGGGTTCAAACTCACGACCTCATACTAGCAAGGCAGGTCCTTGTGCCACTGAGCTATACTCCAGCCCCAGCTTTACTTTTATTTAATTGTTTCCAGGACTGTGCGTCTGCTCTTCAGCTTCAAGTATGTCTTCTGCATGTGCTTTATATTTTTTAAAAAAGTCTTTGTTGTTGCACGGTATTGTCCTATTTTTTCTCTTTTGGAAAAATATGAAGGAAATTCATTTTTTTCATAAACTTATTTTTTCTGTTTCTTAATGGTTTTGTAAAAAGAGCTTTTGTAACTTCACTCAAAATAAATTTTCTTATTGCCTCTTAAATTTTGATGGCTTTTCCAATCAATTTTTTCACATAGCTTGAAATATGAGACAGTCATTATTTTTCATATTAATATCTAGAGAGGCTCTCACTAGTCATTGAAGACTGCTTTTTCTCCTTAGAAATACCTTAGCATTTTTATTAAAACTTGGATTAGTGTGTTTTCCAGCCCACATGACTAAAGATTTTCAAACTTGGTATTGATGCTCTTCTGAATTTCCACAAGCTCTGTAGTAATTTCACCCTTTTCATTTTTCATTGTCTGATTGTTTGATCATTTTTCATGCCCAAATCTTGTAATCTGAACAACTACTTTCAAGGTAACAAATGCCATATATTAACCAGGGTTAATTTGCTATATTTTAAAAAAATTCTGCATTAATTTTATCCTTTTTCCTTTTCTGTGTTTTTAAAATTAAAAAAAGAAAAAAAATATTGGTTTTCACAGAGGTTTGAGTTTATTTGTGCACTATCTATTATATTCCATTGTTTTCAAGTAGGTCCTATGGGAGTACCACATTGTCCTGAAAACTGAGTATTAGCTTTAAACTCTGAAACTATCAAGTATGAGTTTTCCAAATCTCTGCTTCTTTTTCCAAGAACACTTTGATTATTTGGGAACCTCTATATATTCACCATATATTAAATATAAAAAGTTTTGGTACATTCACTATCATACATTCTTATTCTAAATTTACTTTTGATTTACTTCTGAACTATTGATAATATAGGTGAATACTATTTAATTTTTATGCACTCATATGTTTTCCAGTTTTAACTTATTGATTTATAATGCATTCCCTTAAAGTCACAAAACATATTTTATATAATTTCATTTTAGAATATATTTATACTTACATGACTATTCTGCATAATATTCCATGATCACTTGAGAAGAACATACATTTGACTTTTAATGGAGTGAATGTTCTATAAATATTAGTAGGTTGATTTAGTTCTCTTTACTCATTGAGCGATGTAATTGCACCTGATCATGTCATTATTATATATACTGTGTATTCTTTCCTGATATTTTGTTGTCATAGTTTGGTTTGTGCATTTTGAAGTTCCTATGTTAGGTACAATAATTTTTATAATTGCTGCATCTTCTTGATGGATTGACTATTTTAGCACTATGCAGGGTATCTTGTCTATGGTAAAAATTTTTGTCTTAAAGTCCATTTTGTCTGTGTTATAACAGTTATTCCAGCTCTCTTTAGTTAATGGTTCTGTGGAATTTTTTGTTCCTACTTTTAATAAAATCAATTAATAAGGGCTACATGGGTCAGTTGTAGAGATGTATTAGTCCTTTCCTATTTTTAGCCCATGTCAACAGACTACTTCCCACCATAAGAAAACTTCTGAAATATTCCTTATTCCCTGAGATTATAATAAAATGAATTAGAAATCATTCATTGAGCTCTAAATCTCATAGCTCCACAATATTTATTGCGTAACTCTTAAGCGGTCATCTCCTGATTACTTGATGCTGAATTCTTTACTTTTTAGTCCTTTTCAGAGTGAAAACATAGGTAAATCATTTTCCCCAGATTTGATTTTATCCCAAAGTTTCTATGTGCATTTCATAGAAATTCTTTTTAATAAAAGATAACACAGTATCTTTATGAGTAACAGATTTGCTCAGATTTTACAAGCACCGCCAAAATCTTTCTTAATGTTTGCCACAGATTTAAATGTTCTGAGATTCATCTTTTGTATGTTTTTAGAACTGAGTCATTTTTCTTAGAGTAATGTGTGTCTTCTCTCAGCAATGTTGCTCTTTGAGGGTCTTGTTAGAGATACATATTGTTAAGCTCCATCTATATCTGCCAACTCACAAAAGTGGAGGCAAAAATATTCTTAAATCTGGATTTAATAAGTCCTTGATAGGATTTTAATTTTCTTTTCTCAGGATTGAACTCACAACCTGGCACTTGCAGGGCAGGCACTTATGCTGCTGAGCTAAATCCCCGGCCCCAGACTCATTTATTTTAAGAGCCATTGTTAGCTAAGCGTGTTGTGTAATTCTAGCACTTTGGAGGCTGATGCAGGAGGATTCCTGCAAATTCAAGTCATAGCAAGACCCTATTTCACATAAAAAGACAAGCTTCATTAAAACAATTGCCCTAGAAATTCTCTGAACTCTACAGTAGGATTTCACTAATTCTTTCTCCTTCTATCATCAGCTTGTAGATACTGGAACAAGTTTCCAGCTTTTCCTAGTGTATGTGAAATAATAGTGCGCAAACTGAGTCAGATATCAACTTCAGTTTTATAAATACAGTTAAAATATTAGAATTTTGAAATGAGATTATTTGCTTTAAGAAATTATTATATATTAATTTAAAAAGCCTGTTTTGAAGAATATTGCCTAAGTTTACTAATAAATCCAGAATATACTGGTCATCATTCCTTGGCCTTTTGGCTAAGATTAAGTGCAGAATTTTTGGTCATATTACACTTAATAATTGAAAATTTATTATATTAAATGAAATAAATTGTTTAACCTCCTTGCTTTTAATTTTTTATATCTAAAAAAAAATGAGTTCAATGAAAGCATCCTGCTATAACATTCTACAAATCAGACACTCACTCAACAATTTAATTCTAGAGGCTTGGGAATATTTATTACTATATCTTAAATGCTATACAGAATCAGATTACTGTAACATCTTCACTTTGATGCTTTAGGCCCCCAAAATATATTCCCTATTAAAGCATTCACTAATATATTTTGTATTTATCGAAATCTGTTTGAACTCAAGTAGGTTGTACTTTCAAGAAAAAAGTTAATAATACCATTTTGTGACCATGTACATTGAATATGGTACTGTTCAGTCAAGCATATGAATTTTCTGGCTTTTGATTTGCCTCTGTAGTTAAAACTACTTCCCAGCAGAACCTATAAATAAAAGGGATTTCTGGCTCCTTGTTTCAAAACAACTAACTTGAAAAGGAAGATCTGTTGACACTTTTCTCCCTAAGAAACACTGTACCATGAAGTTTCATCTCTTGTTTTTTATTCTGCTCTTTTGGGTCACAGTTTTACCAGGTAATATGCAAACATTTGTGGGGCTATTTGTACTGATTTGAAGAGATATCAGTTGTTCCTTGTTATCTGAAGGATAGCAGTGACTAAAAGGTTATTAGACTAAAGATGTGGCATTTTGAAGTAAACTCTAAAACAAAAAAGGCTTTGCTAATAAAACTGGGGAAATATAAATAAAATGTAGTTTAGTTAATAGTATTGTAACAATTTCTTAGTGCTAATAAATATTACTACAGTGATATGAGGGATAACTATGGGAATCTGGCCTCTGAAATCTTCTCAACTTTCTGAAAGACTAGAATGATATCAAAATAAAAATTTAAAAGGTAAGACAATCACATTATCATTCTCCACTTCATCCAGTAACGTTTATTATTATGAATATGTGCCATCTTGGGAAAAATGTTTTTAATAATCCACCATTAGTGGATAAGTGAATGATATAGATCTATTTGCTTTTTTCTATTTTTCACCTATGCCAAAACTACTTTCTGTTACTAGCAATCCATTGTTGGTATTCTTTCTCGAGGCAGGTCCCAGATAGTAGGTCTTTCTGTAACTGATTCTTGTCCATACCTTAATTTCCCCCCAAGGTCTTTCCACATAAGACATTAACTAACAAGCTTCTCTTCTCCCAAATGTTTGTGCAAGCAGTAATTACAGAGAAAGATAACATAGTAATACTTACAGATAGAGATCCCTGATGTTATTCACTTCCCAGTAAAAGACTGAGGTGAGAGGATGAGGATTAATCTAGCCAGTTTGTAAGAAAGACAGTAAAACCAAACATATTCACCAACTTTTTGGACAATATGTTGTTAGTACCTGGTTTATTGCTTAGATCCTAGAAGAGAATTCAGAGAAGCCTAGGACACTAAATTAACTTGTTATCTCACTCTTTTGCCAAACCATTATTGCAATCTACAATTTTGCATTTAGTAAATTGATAAATTATCATTTATCAGTTGCTACTACATAAAATTGTAAGTGGTGTGGTGATGTATGCCTGTAATCCCAGCACCTGGGAGGCCGGGACAGGAAGACTGGGATGGTAATGAGTTCAGGGCTTGTCTGGGCTACAAAGTGAATTCAAGGCAAGACTGAAAAATAGCTTAGAAAATAGTTGAAAAATGAATAATAATAATAGTGAACAAATAAAAATTCTATACAGAGGTCAATCGTCAGTAAACTATCAATATAATTAACTTAGTTAAGACAATAACTTTTCTTCCATTCAAAAGTTATTTATGGAAGGATATCTGGATATTTATCAACATTGTAGAGAAAATAAATTCCATAGAGATTTGCATAACTTTCACAATGTAGTAAGTCATTTTCTCCTATTTCCAAAAGTAATGAATCTTTAAATAAATCACTCTACTCAGTATCCCCTTCTTTAGAAGCGCCATACCAGATATTCCTACTAATAACTAAAATTATTCCTACATTTACTCAACAAATTTCAAATCGTGTGCCCTATAGACTTACAAATTATTAACCACTTAAGGGATACAGTGACATAGATTACAACTTTAGTGTTGTAATTAATTTGTTTTGCATATTCTCTTTTATTTTGAAATTTAACACATTAATTTTTTTCCTTCACACATGGACCAAATCTTTAGAGAACTCCTACTATTATGTACAAAATCTTAAAGTAGCAATAACAAAAATAAGTATGTTCAGATGCATGTTTAAGTATTTCTCCTCAAAATTAGGGAAGTGTAAGATCCAGAGATTTAATAAATAATAAAGTCTTGAGAATAATGTCTTTCACCTTTAATCCATCAACAAACAGCAGTTGAAGTAAACTGAGTGAAAACAAATATCATGTTTATGTCTTTGTAGAATTCTCCTTTGTTTTTCTGTATGTTCAGTCTTGTATGTAGCGAAAGATTCTACTTAAAATTGTAACACAAAACCTCATACTCTTACCAGACAATTACAGATGAAAAGACACCTAGATAAAGTCCTTACATTTTCTATGCAGGAAAATTTTCAATTCCATAATTTAGCCTTCACCTTCATTTTCTACAATTTATAAGTTCACAGTAAGTTAAAAAATGGAATATTTTCCCATTCCTTTTATCTGCCAGGTTAGAAAAAACCATAGGTTTATATCATAAAACATTCCTGTTTTAAGTCGAACGTGTTTTTGAATATAAGGTAATATGGCTCTGTGCAGAATGGAAAGGCACAGTCTTATTCCTCTGTTGCCAGGACAGAAAATGGAAATCTGTAGAACAAAGAAATTGAAGAATGAAAATAAACAACTTGGGTTGACAATTCATTTTACCCAATTGTAGTCTATGCAGTTAGTTAGTATTCATATAATATTTAAAGAAATATTTTGCTAAAATGATATAATAATGTAGCATGAAGGAATCATTGAAGAGATTTCAGAAAAAAATGGGGGAGACATTCCTCCTACTGAAAATCATTAGCGGAACCCTCAGAGAGAAGAGTATTTCAATCTTTCATCTGTGGGAAGATGAGATATTTAGTTTTTATCTTTTCACGGTATCACTAGAAGAGTGGTTCTCAGTGTGCAGTGGTTTCATCCAGGAGATATCAGGCAATGTCCGGAGACCCTTTATGTGTCATAAGTAGGATGACTGGCATGTCGTGGCGGAGCTCAGAGATGCTGCTCCTTATCCTGCAGTGCACAAGGCAGTCAGCAGAGTGTTAAGCTCAAAGGTCAGTGCTGCTTCTGTGGAGAAAACCTGCCACATAGCCTGACACTGAGCTCTGCAAAAGTAAATTTGTTATACATTCCTAGTTTTGCTTTTCTACGTATGGATAAGGCAAGTGTCTTCCACATAACAGTCTTCCCGCTGTGGTCTGAATAGCCTCATGATGCCAGCTACAAATTCCTTAACACGTTTTTCATATTTCATGAGAAAAAGAATCATGGAAAAGGAGTTGGTAAACTTTACTTTCTGGGAACAAAGTAAATAACAGATTAGTTTTACGAGCTCTATGATCACAAGTGTATTCCTGTAATGCCAAAAGATCTAGCTGGTGTGTTTGGTGCCTACCTGTAGTCTAGCTGTCCATCATCAAGAGTATTGATATGAGCAACAAATGCAAACAATTCTTTTTAAATGACTACTGCTTCAGAAGCTTTGTTGTAAAAGAAGAAAAGGCTACTGTCCTTTGCTGCACCTTCTAGAAACTCCCATTATTTTCTCATTTATCAGTGCTGTTGTTCAATGTGTGTCTAAGTTAAATTGCCTTTTTAGGGAAATAAATCCCCAAATCTGCAGAAGAATTGTGAGAATTCATATCCTCGACGTTTAAGAAAAGTAAAACCAAGCAGTAGTCAAAACTGCAGGGAGAATTCAAAAGGAAAACATTCAGATTTAATGATGTTTATGAGAGCAGAAAATGGATAAATGGTTTAGATGGTTGTGGAGGTAGGTTTGGCAGAAACGTAAAAGTAAGCCATGCTCATTTGTGACTGTTGACTTTGAAAACTATCCTTGAGTCACTTCTAGTCCTTAATGTAAAGTTGAAACATTTAACTTAGGTCTGAGACACTTTTGAATTCTAAAATGCTCCTTGCATTGGATTTCCCCCAGTAAATGAGGATTTTCATTCTATTATCTTTCATATATTATGAATGTTTCTTTTAAAACACCAATGTGTCATGAATTACATTGTTAACTCTAGCATTTCTTTTCTGTTTACAGCCAAAAAGAGATATCCTGAGTATGGTAGCTTGGATTTGAGGAAAGAGTGCAGAAGGAGCAAAGGTGAATGCAGAATTCAGTGCCTAAGCAATGAAATCAGAGTTGCTTTCTGCATAAGACCGGGAACTCCCTGTTGCATGAGCAGTTCAGGATGACAGAAGAAAAGTCACATGTTCCAGGAAGAGAAGATCACTGTTACTAAGTCTTCCTGACACATCTTTCAATCCCTGAGTGTCTATAAAGAACAAAGAATTAAATAAAATTCCATACCAAAGTATTCAGACGTGTTTCTATATTACACACATTTCTGGTGCCCTTTTCTGTTGGTTTCCTGCTACCAAAAGCAAGCATAACTTGTGGAAGTTCACAATACAATAACACTCAAAGTTCTGTGTGCCTTGTGATATATGAAATAAGTAATATTGGAAATAAGCATAGAAAAGGTATGAATGTAATGTTATTTTACTATATATTACTCCTATAAAAATGCATAAATCCACTGGGCTTGGGGGACTAGACACTGAGAGTTTCTGTGGATCTTATGAGAAACAGGGCCTTACGCAAGGATCAAGCAGTAGAAAGATTTCCATAGCAAGCTCTGATTTCTACTCATTGCTGTTTAGGGGGAAGGCGTATCAAGAAGTAGGAAGGGGAGAATTTAACAAAGTAGAAGAAATTGCATAGATTTAAATGTTTTGAACAAACAAGTCAGAAACAATAAGTAACACTTGAATTCCACTCTTCAGTTCTAAGAAATGATTCTGGAGAGACTGAATAGGATGAAAAAGAAATTACCTTTACTTTTCAGCTACATTCTGCCTCGGTTTGTATTCTAAATGTATTCCTGAGAAGGCTCTGAACAATTCATGTATCCCATTCAGTTTTTTTTTTATTTAAAAAAAGATAAAAGAGGACATAACAACACAGGTCAGAACACAACAATTTAAGCAACATAGTGTTTCACCACAAGATAATCCGACATAACAGTAGTTACCAGAGTGTCTCTTTCCTTGAAATATTTGAAATACATTCATACACTATAGCATCAAACATAACAAGACAGAGTAAAACCATTCAAGAGAATGTAAGTATTACTCCGTATTCAGAACCAACTAACAGAAAACGAACAGTGGTTACTATATATCTCCTTGTTTATACACAATTTTGTTTATACTACCACATATAATAAAATCCAATAAGATACAACATTATAAAACCAATAGAGACAGAAGAACAAAAACTTGATGGGACTTCAAAACAAGATGATATTAAACCAGCACTAGCTATTATAATGTCTTAATTTCTTCAAAATACCTGTTCATACCATCACAGACAATAAAATCAAACAATCCAGAATAAAACCGTTCCAATTACTGAATGAAAATATTATAAGGCTTCAAAGTAATATAATGGGTAATCATGATTACCACATACTTTGATGTATTCTTACCATTTCTTATACTAGGGAAACTATTTGGTATTTATATATGTGTGTTTGATTTATTTTGCTTATGAGTATGTCTCAAGCTGCATCCATTTATTTATAAATATCTCAATGCAACCATTATTTATAGCTGAGTAGGATTCCACTGTATAAAAATACCACAACTTTTTTATCCATTCCTCAGATGATGGACACTTAGGTTGTTTTCAATATCTGGCTATTACAAATTGTGCTGCTATAAACATCGGTGTATATATATCATTGTGGTATGATGTTTTCAGTTATTCTGGAAATATGTCTAGAAGTGGAATACCTGGGTTGAATGAGACTTCTAGTCCCAGATTTCTGAGAAATCTCCAGACTGTCCTCCACAATGGTTGCACTAGTCTACACTCCCACCAATAGTGCAGGAGAGTTCCTTTTTCCCCACAGCCTCTACAGCATTTGTTGCTGGTAGTTTTCTTGATCCTGGCCATTCTTTCACGAGGGAGATGGAATCTCAGTGTGGCTTTAATTTGTATTTCTCTAATGAGTAAAGATGATGAACATTTTTTTATGTATTTATTTGCTATTTGTATTTCTTCTTCTGACAAGTGTGTATTCATCTCAGATGCCCATTTTGGATTGGATCTTTGAATTTTGGGGTCTGATTTTTTTTTAAATCTTTATATGTTTTAGGCAGAAATCCTTTGTCTGAGAGACAGTTCACAAAGAATTTATTCCAGTTTGTGGGTTTTCTTTTCACTGTGTTGGAAATTTCTTTTGACATGCAGAAACTTTTTAGTAAAAGGTGATCCCAATTATTGATTCTGGGAAGTTTTTCCTGCGTGGTTTGATTCCTGTTCATGAATTCTTTACCTACCCCCATGTCTTCAAGGTTATTAACCAATTTTTCTTCCAATAGATCTAGTGTTTCTGTTTTAATATTCAGATCTTTGATCCATTTAGATTTTAATTTAGTACATGTTGATAGGCAAGGATCTAGTTTTAGTTTTCAGCATATGGAGAGCCAGTTTTTTCAACACCATTTATCAAAGAGACTGTTGTTCTTCCAGTGAACCTGTTTGACTTCTTTATCAAAGATAAGGTGGTTGAGTGTGTATGCAGTTGGGGTTGTGTCCTCTAATCTATTCATTGATCTTCAGATCTGTTTTTATTTCAGTAGTGTGTTGATTTTATCATGGTAGCTTTGTAGTATAACTTCAAGTCAGGGATTGTGATGCCTCCTGCCTTGCCTTTGCTGCTTAGAACTGTCTGCTATTTTAGGTCTCTTCTGGTTCCAGATGAATTTTAGGAGTGATTTCTCTAGATTTTTGAGGCATGTTGATTTTTTTTTATTGGGATTGCATTGAATTTGTATAACAGTTTTGGGAGAGTGGCCATTTTCACATTATTTATCCTTCCTATCCATGAGCAAGGAATTCCATTTTCTGAGATCACTGTCAAATTCTTTTTTCAATTATTATAATTTTCCCCATATAGATCTTTCACTTCTTTCATGAGAATAATTTCTAAATATTTCAATTTTTTGGTTACTAGTGTGTAGGGTGTGGCTTCTCTTATTTCTCTGTGATTTTGTTGTTAGTGTATAGGAATACTATTGATTTTTGAGTATTGATTTTGGATCCAGCTGCATTGTTGAATTTATTTATTATATCTAGTAGTCTTTCAATGGAGTTTTGGGGATCTTCTATGTAGAATATCATGTCATCTACAAATAATGATAATTTAACTTCTTTTCCTATCTTTACCCCTTTTATTTCTCTCTTGTCTCATTGCTCTGGCTAGTATTTCCAGTACTATATTAAATAGGAGCAGTGATAACGGGCATCCTTTTCTTGTGCCTGATTTTAAGGTAAAGGCCTTCAGTTTTTGGAAATTTAGTATGATACTGGCTGTTGGTTTGTCATAGATGGCCTTTATTATATTCAGGTAAAGACCATCTATTCCAATTTTCTGTAAGGTTCTTATCATAAATGAATGTTGGACCTTATCAAAACATTTTCTGCATCTATAGAAATGATCTTACTTTTGGCTTTATTGATATGCTGGATTACATTTATTGCTTTACATATGTTGAACTATTCCTCTACAGCTGGGATGAATCTCACTTGGTCATGTTGGGTCATCTTTTTGATGGTGTGCTGCATTCTATTTGCCAATATTTTATTGAGGATTTTTGCATCTGTGTTCATTAGGTACATTGGCCTGTAGTTCTCTTTTTAGTTGGGTCTTTCTCAGGTTTTGTACCAGAGTAATATTTGCTTCCAGGAATGACTTGGGAAGGATTGCTTCCCTTTCAATTTCATTGAAGAGTTTGAGGACTGTTGACATTGTCTTCTTTGTATTTCTTGTAGAATTCTGCAATGAATCCTGGGCCTGGGCTCTTCTTTGTATGTAGGAACCTAATTACATTCATTTTCATTAATAGAAATTGGGTTATTCAGCAGTTTTACATCCTTTTGACCTAGCTTTGGCACTTCATATGTTTCTAGGAATCTTTCCATTTCTTCTATGTTATCAATCTTATTAGAGTAGAGGTTTTCGAAGTAAGTGTTGATGATCTTCTGTATTTCTAGAGTCTGTAGTGATTTCACACTTTTCATTCCTTATTGCATGAATCTGACATTTCTCTTCCCTTTTTATTAATAAGATTGTCTAGGGGCTTATCAATTTTATTTATTCTTTCAAAGAACCAACTCTTTGATTCATTGATTCTTTGGATTGTTTTCTTAGTCTCTATTGCATTAACTTCTGCTCTGATTTTTATAATTTCCTCTCTTCTTTTGGCTTTGGGCTTGACTTGCTCTTCTTTTTCTAGATGTTTGAGATGCAGCATCAGGATGTTAATTTGTGTTCATTCTGTTTTCCTTAATGTGGGAACTCAGTGCAATTAATTTTCCTCTGAGGACAGCTTTCATTGCATCCCACAGATTCTGGTAAGTTGTATTTGTATATTTGTTTGCTTGTAGGTATTTTTGAATTTCTTCTTTAATTTTTTGTTATTGTTTTATTTTATTGTTCTTGTTTAATTTTACTGTTATTGTAAATTATTGTTTAATTTACTTCTTTACTTACCTGGGACTCACTGATTACTCAAGAGTGTGTTATTCAATTTACATGTGTTTGTGGGGATTTTGCTGTGTCTTTTAGCATTAATTTCTAATTTCATGGCACTATGATTCGATAACATGCATGGGACAATTTGAACACTTTTGCATTTATTTACATATGTTCTATGGGCTAGTATATGGTCTACCTTAGAGAATGTCACATGTACTGCTGAGAATAATATGTATTCTGATGTTGTTGGGTGGAACACTCTGTATATGTCTATCAAGTCCGTTTTTTCACAGTTGTGATTCAGTTCTGTTATTTCTTTGCTGATTTTCTGTCTGGATGATCTGTCCCTTGGTGTCAAAGGTGTGTTAATGTCTCCTGTTACAACTATGTTATTACTAATTTGGTTTTTCATTTCTATTAATACTTGCTTTACATAACTGGGTGCTCTGAAATTTGGTGCATGTATATTTAAGATTGTTATCTCTTTCTCTTGAAGGTTTCCCCTAACCAGTATATAATGACCTTCTTTATCTCTTCTGATAATTCTTGGTTTGAATTTTACATTGTCTGCAAACAGAATAGCTACACCTGCTTTTTGGGAGGCAGTTCCTTTTGTATGAAGTATTGTTTTCCATCCTTTGACTTTCA